AAATATAATTAATATTGTCAAGACTTTATTTTTATTGAATTAAAAGTTCAAGTTAGTTAAAGAAATTATTTTCATAATTGGCTGACTTATTTAAAAAAAAAATTTTTTTTGCTATTTTTAAAGAATACTTGTGATATTTAATTTTTTTCTCGCTCCATCAGCTTGATTTGCGAATAATAAACAATTTATAAAAAAAATTATATTGATAATTAAAGTATGCATCCCGCAAAACTTCAATGTACTGCTCGTTGCAGATTTTCTTAACTGTAAACTTTTTTTAAATAAATGAAGAAGAAATCTTTACAATTTTACCCAATTTAATTAATCATAAATTTGTGTTCCGCAATTAAATTTGCGAAATGTGGAAAAGAGGCCACTGCGCCACGAATTCAAAACAGAATTTTTCAAGCGGAAGTCGCATCGAGTTTTGTATTATTTTCGCAGAAACGAGGACGCGGCGGCGAAAAGAGGACGGGAAAACAGAGAGGGCCCCTCGGAAGGTCGGCAACGAAACTTGATGGCCGGCGCAGCGTTCGTCCCTGTTTCCGGTGTCGCAGAGAGATTCGCCGGCGCTGTTTCTCTGTGCGGATCTACTATTGTGTGTGTGTACGCGGGGCCGACGCGCAGTTAATGATGATTGGAAAAAAGGAAACAAGCGCTGGGCCGAGTCAGCGCTGCCATCAAGATAGACGCTTTAATATTGTAAAATTACATCGGGCTGCAGAGAGCGCATTGTGGGCCCTTTGTTGTGCTCTCTCTCGCTGGCTCACTTAATTCGTGACCACGCCTACGCGGCCGGGGAGGAGTTTTATATAGTTGAGCACCAAATGAGCACCACCTCCTGCACCTGCCGCGGTCTTTGGAGAACGGAACTGCTCCGTGGCCAATTTCTAGCGCTTAAAAAGATGCGCGTCTCAAGACTTTCAGCGAGAGAGAAACCGAGACGAAAATGCGGAGAGTGGAACGACGGAAATATCTTAAAACTTTAACTTACTTTTATCTTATATTTTAAATATAGTATAATTAAATATTGAAAAGAGAGAAAAATATAATTGCATAAATAAGGGGTTTTTATATTGTCAAAGGGGACAAAAAATTAATAAAGCTTTTGAATATAAAATTAAGAAACAAAATGAAATAAAAACCTGATTAAATAAAATTGAATCTTTAATTGTGACGGATGATATTGTTTTTGGGACTCAAATTTGAACTAACCTCACCAAATTGTAAAAGAGTGAATAAAATACTTAAATTTCATAATAATAATAATCAATCAAGAGATTTTTTAATATTAATGAAAACCTTAAGCAAAAGATAAATTCAATAAAACTAAATTTTTATTAATTACATTCATTGCAATAATTGAAATCAAATTATTAATTTTCAGATTTTTTTAGTGTTCCAATCTTTAAAGAGCTTTTACTTTTTACAATTTTTTTATACTTCATTGAAACACAATTAAAAAATAATTAATTTCAACATCATTTAATTATTGTATAAAATAAAATTTACAAATTGTTTGCTCTTCAAGTTGATTTGCCAATATCAAATTTGAAAGTGATTTGAGAACTGGATGTTATAAGAAATAATAATTTTTCATGGAATATCGAATCAACCCTGTTTAATTTGCCGCAGTATTCACTGTAAATCGCGGTCGTGGGGGTCTGCAGAATATTTGCTATTATATTCCGGGCACCAAATTTGCAGCACGTCGGACCGCGCCGAGCGAAATAATACGATAAATAAGCCGAGAGAGAAGTGCAGCCGCGGCATCGATCGATGGCATCGCGGGGCATCACACTATGTACACTGGCGGGTAGGCCTATTCGCGATTAAAGCGTGCACTCGCTCATTTAATTAGGCACTCCGCCTGCAAACACGCGGCGGCGGCGGCACATTTCAAACGCGAAAACTTTTTTGCAGCCACGATCCCCCAGCTTTGAAAATATAAATTCCCCATGGCAACCGGGCGAGAGCCGCGACTAAAATAATATAAAATTTTAACATGTCGCGCAGAAAACGTGCAGAGCCGCGAGTCGCCGCGGGCGATAACTAATTGATAACAGCCGCTCTCTCTCTGTGTGGATGGTATAAAAAAATTCGCGCACAGCCGCAAAGCTAATTAGAGATAAACCCTTTTTTATTAAAAACTTTCCCCCTCATCGTGCAGCAGCAGATACACGTACGGAAAAATGCGCGAGCAGGAATATATGAAAAAAAAAAAAATGTGCGCGCCTCTTAAGAGATGAATGCAGTTTAAAGAGTCACGGGCTATTTCCAATCACGTTGCCATAGAAACGGGCCGGCAGCCGCGAGCTCTCTTTTGATCCTGGCGCGCGCAAAAATACACTCGAGCATCCAGTTTAGCCGTTCTGAAAGGGTTACAGCCGCCGATGAATATACGTTTGTATGCAAGACGAGTCCGATCGAATCGCGCGCGTATATATTCCGAGTTAGGCCTATAATCAATTTATAATTCCTGTCTGCCGTCGAGGGTTGGTTTATATATAAATATTTTTTTTTCAACCGTTTCGCAAAATGGCCATTTAAAGTTGTGCGGAGGGGGCTGAATGCGAATTGCCTTCCGTCCATCCAGAAGAGTGCAGATGAAGCGCGAAAGGGCTGCACATAGTTCATGCACCGCTAACTAAAATGCACGGAGAGCCCAGTGGCTCGACGAGGAGGACCGCCGTGCACAGCGCTAATTAACTTTGCAGGCGCGCGGACCCCTCGGCGGCACCGTGACTTGCTCGTCAAATGCGCAAAGTATTGATTTGGAGCTTCCATTTGGCTGGATGAGCACAAAGAGCGCAGGGAGAATTATCAATTTGTCTGGTTAATGAGATTTGCTTTATTTATAGAGTAAAAAATAAGCTTTTAAAATACATATTAAAAATAAAAATTATTTTGTAAATTTCCCATTATTTATTATATTTATTCACAAATTCTTTCCCAAAACTGGAATCCATTGCAGAGCTTTCATTTAATTTAAGATAAAGTTTCAAGTAATAACTAAAAATAAAAAATTAACTTAAATAATGAAAGAGTATTTCTGGAAAGTTACATACATTTAAAATTTTATTTTATTTTATATCATTATATTTTTTTATCAATTTAATTTCATTTATTTTACTTATTGCATTTAATTCTATCTTTATTTCATTTAATTTTATTTCACTTCAAAAGCTCTAATCAATAAATTATTTGGTGAAAGACGCATCAAAAGAGTTTGGTGAAGAAAAATTTCATTGGTTTTTTTCCATCTTTTAAGTTTATTTTTTCATAATTATTAAAAAGGTCACTATCAATTATTCTTAAATTGTTCAATAAACTTCAAAGTAATTTTAATTAATCCTCAACTTTTTTTTAAAACAAATTAATATTTTCCTTCATTATTTCAATTGTGCCAAATTTATGAAATTATGAAGTTGAAGTTTTCATAGAAGTGGTAAGGAAGTTGAAGGGTTGGTTCGCGAAGAAGTAGAACGCGAGGAGGAGCGAGGGAAGCCAAAGGTGTAATAAATCTTGGGCGAGCGTGCGCCGCATTGGCTGCCGCCTTTTCTTGCAGAATCGCCGTAAGAAAGGCGCACGGAGTGGCGCCCATTGGCTGCGGCAACGGTGCCGCCGCTGCTGGTGCTCACGGTCCGTGAAGATGGCAGGCGGCCATGGGAAAAGAGCATCCTGTGCTAGGAGCCATCGCTGCTGCACCGCGCCCGGGCACACACACACAACACTTTTTATTATTTCCTGAGAGCCGCGGTTTCGAAACGCCAGAGAGAGAATCGCAGAATCCGCCATCATGCTAGAAAAATGACGCAAAAAAGCAGCAGGGCAACTTGAAACTCTCTCAAATGGAAATAACAATTTGAAGTTAATCGAGTCAAAAGAAAAATAAAGCCTTTCTCTTGCAGATCAATAAACTTTTAACTAGAGATAAAATTATTCAAAGAGGCGTGTTTTTGCCGTTATAAATTCTTTTAATTTTTTTTATGTTAACTGTATAAGGAGGGGGAGATGTTGGTGAGTTTTGTTAAACATCAGATAAAGGTGATTTGCATTTAATTATAAGTGCGGGTCGCTGCCCCCTAATGAGCGATTCGGTTATACGGTTATATAAATTTCCCAGCAGCGGAAGACAAACTTTTGCGCAGAGAGAGAAAAATACAAGATGAATGATGATAATTTTTAATAAGGCACGTTGGCGAGTTGAAGAAAAACAGCGCCCTTTCTCTTGTTACTCTCTTTCCTAATTTGCATTTTCGCGGCGTAATTAAAATTCCTTTTGCAAGAAAGGACATTGTGGAAAAAAATCCACCGTCTCTCCCCGCCGCGCTAATAATGCCGCCGCCGCGTGTATATATAAAAGACGAATTACACGCCGCCCATGTAAAAGAAATCTTCCTCAAACTCTCTTAATTAACTTGTCTTTTCATTTGCGCAGGAGGAAAGTTTTTTTATACGTTTCCCTCCGTTCTTTTTTCATTTTCCGCGCGACAATACGCCGCTCGCTACTCGTCTTCTCTCCCATTCCGTCGCGCGGCGCAATCGGCGGAGCGAAAGCAAACTGCTTTTTCCTTTTCTTTTGACAGAAAAGTCGGCGCGGCTCTCCTCTAATTACCCGCGCACGATGTACCCACACACGTGCAGCCCCAACTCGCGAAAAGAAGAAGTCACTTTTTTATATTTTTTCAATTGGATTTCCTACTCTCTTCCAGCCCCCGCTACATCTCTCGATTCGCCAGATTGTCTCTCTCGTCTCAATTCACGCGCTTATATATGTATTTTTTTTTTTTGCAGCGCGTGTTTATTAATTACAAACGCACACAACGAGACAACAAGTCGCTTTTCACATCGACACCGAGCGCTAAGCAACACCTTGATGATGACGGCGTCACCCTCCTCTCTCTCTCTCTCCATCATAAAAATGAGGAAAAAGCAGCGACGGAATTATGTGATTAATTAAAAAAAAAAAAAAAAAGCGAGCGTCACACGCCACTTACTTTGTCAATGCTGATGACGAAGCTGCCGCTACTGCGGTGAATGGGATGCTGCGCTGCCTTCTTAAACCTCTGCAACACACACAAAAAACAATTGTTCACTTCATACATCATATATGTTTGCACTAATTATGCTTCAAGAGTGACGAAAATCACGCGGTTTTGAAAAAAAAATAACACGAATGTATTATGAAAAAAAGAGCTAATTATTTTATCAAGGAAATTAAAAAAAAATTCTGTTTTTTTTCCCTTTCACAGAACTTTGACAAATTAGATCAATGAGATAATTGAAAGTATGTTTAAGGAACAAAAGAAACTTTGTACTTGCAGATGAAACGGTTTTTTAACTCAATTCAAAGGACACGCCTTTGTCGCGAGTGTATAGCAGAGAGAAGCAATTAGTGCCCACCTGCTGGGCCACGTTCTTATCTTATTAGACGTGGTAAGAATAGGGGTAATAAATAATGCAGTGTATTACCAGAGAGAGAATTATTATACCCGGCTATTGAGAAGAATGGCAAGTCACAAGAGGCTCTCAAGCTTGGGAAAAGTTCCCACATACATCAAAATGAATTGCTGGACATTGTCTGAAGTATAAGCAAAAATATGAATCAAATTTAACATATTTTAAGTGAAAACGTTTGAGTCCTCAGCAAAATCAAAATTGAAAATTGTTTTATTTTATATTTTCATGCTTCGATTAAAAACTAAATAATAATATGCAATAAATAAATAACAACAGATTAAAATTCTGATTAATAAATTATATGTGAAAAAAATGGTAAACTCACACTCGAATTTATTTCTTAAAATCTATAAATAAAATTAATTATTTTAAAATATAAATATTAATTAATTGAGTAATATTTTATTATTTTTTTAAATATAATTAAAATATAAAAATACTGGCAACATTTAAAGTGTCTAAATCAGCTAAACATATAAAATGCTTTGAATTTATTTCGGTCTTGTCGATTGAAATGCGGGTCCTCTCGTCGTTCCTTTTTTGTTCAAGTGCATAATGTTTTGACATTATACCCGCTCTCGCGCTCAATAAAACGTCACGTAATAATAGGTCAAGATAAATAGCAGGCTTCTCTTGCTACAGCCATCAAATGCAAATACGCCGCACGCACTTTCTTTTCCCTCCCCAGCAGCAGCTTTGAACATAATGCGGGCTGCCTTTCGACAGCGCGGGGTCTAATCTCCGTCGAATTGAGAGCACGCCACGCAGGTACTGCAAGTTTCTCTCGAGGAAAAATCCGTTGGCGGCCAATTTGACTTTCAAGATTGAAATCACTCTTTTGTAAATAAATGTTTAAGTGCGGAAGGAGAGTTTTTTTGTATTTTTATTTCTCTCTCGGATCGCGTCGACAAAAAGCGAGCGACGTTTTTGAATTTTCAGACTCGTGGTATTTATATTATGAAAGCTCGGCATCTTTTTCAATTTGCAAACAACAACACCTCGCGATTTTCCGCGCACAATTCTAAGAGAGCGCGATTGCAGAAGCGCGGCGGCAATTTGTATACTCTTTTATTTTTCGCTCTTGCGCTTTTAATCTTTTAAATATTTGAAAAGAAGCCGCGCCTGAATTATTCGCTCACTCTCTGCTGTGATGCAAAATCAAAAGCGCACAGATGAGAAATGAGACTTTTTGTTGCTCCTCCGCGCACACACGTTAATATAGTATTATATGCAGCAGCGAAAGGCAGCTCGGCATTTTTTTTTATTGAATGCTGCGCCGCCGTCGAGCTGCTGCTACCTTTTTGATGTTTCATTATTTCTCTCCTTCGAAAAAAAAAATATACCGGCACCGATTTGCCGTTTCTAAAGGGCGACAAAAGGCGGAAGAAAAGTTGCGTTTAATTAATGCACTTGACGATTTGAAAAGCACGGATTTTCCACCAAAATCCATTCAAATTTATGTACATAAAAAAAAAGTTTTCCTAGACAAAAAACACGAGACGGGCTTTTCAAAGCAAAAAACACATTTCAGCGAAGCGACCGAGCGGAGCAAATGAGCGGCCAAACTTTAATTAAACTTCGCATTCCTTCGTCTTGATTGACCAGCCAACCCTCGTGTATCGATTCGCTGCAACTTGTAATGGGAAAACTTTGCTTGAAAAACAGAGACATTATTTTTCACAAGTGAATAAAGTCCTCGTTCAGAAACTGCCTGGCAGTTATGCCACCCGCTCGACGTCCGTGTATGTGTTTTCGTATAATTGAGAACTCAACGTAAAAATCGGGTGGATCGCGTGTTAACATGCACACATAAGTTGATCCCGTGCAAAGATTACACACAAACGTCTTCCGGTTCGGAAACGATTCGGATCCGGCGCCACCTTACAAGCAATCGCGCCGATTATCAATTTGCATTTTTAATTGCCGTGAGAGTTTCGCATGTTTCGCTGCACTGACTGACGTGAGATTTCACATCGTTGTTGTATTGCGCTGATCAAACGCACGCCAGTGTTGTGAATTAGTTAATTATTAGCTCAATTAAATTAAAATAATAATATAAAATTTCTATTTAATTATTTTCAAATTTAAATCATTTATTTAATATTATAATTTAAATGATTATTTAATAATAAATAAATTTTTTAATTCTTTCATTTTTTTTGATAATTTTTCATACAAAAAGATGATTTTTTTTTACACTTTAATTTAGGTATATTTTTATTATAAATTAATTTGATGATGTATCATTCACAATTACAATTGTTTCTTTAATTAAATTAATATTTTGCAGAGGCGAAAAGAGGGAATTTTTGATTGACAAAAATGACATATAAATTATTGAGCTTGAATGCCTTGAATTGAAAATGATTCTGAAATCTGAACAATTAACATTAGAATTTTATTAAAAATTAACTCCCTAATTTTACTTTCTCTTGAAGATAATTATAAAACTGTGTTATTTAAATTTAAAATTCATTAAAACATACACATGTTTTTGGCGGAAATTGAGAGAATTGTTAAAAGTGCACATTTGTGTGAATAATTTGAGCAAACATCTGCTGATGGAGCGAAAACCAGTTTTTTCATGGTAGGGGGCTGCAGGGGTAGGTAGGTGAGCCATCGAACTTGAGATGTATATTCGCCGGTTCGAGGGCCCGAACGAGTTCAGTAACGGCCGGGCCGGCGGTCGAGTGAGTGCGGAGCGAGTGCATTTGAGCAGCGGTCATCAAAGGGTTAGCGGTTCGGCGCGCTGCCGTCGCGAGGGTGTGGCGCCAGCGGCCTCGGAGGCGGTCGTCGAGTTTCCCTGCGCGCCCGCGAGAGTGCGCCGCGCGATCGCGGGGGTGGGTGGTGGAAAAAAGGAAGGGTTGAAAGAGCTGCCGATGCTCCTCCTTGCGCGTGTGCCTTGTGATTTTTGATTTACAACAGGTAAATGACAGGCAGACGAAAAACGGGACGAAAAGCGGCGGAGCGCCGCGGCCGAAAGGCAATTTATTAAGGCAGGTCGTTTTTTAATGAAAATTGGTGAAAAGAAAAAGTTAATGCGAATGGGAATAGCGAAATATAATAATGCACGGTCTTCACGGAATAGCGGGACAAATATATAGACGGACGACTCTCAAGAGAAATTATTTGCAATTTTCTTAATTATTTTCCGGCCTGCCGCGAAAAAAATTTCTCATTACTCGAGTAGTTCGGGGAAGAACTTTGCCCGGACAAAAGACGCGGAGGAGTTATCGCGAAAAAACAGACCGGGGTAATAGGGGGTGGTTTGATTAAAATAAGAGATCTGACTGGGGTGTGCAAAAAAAATCCACAAAGGGAAGAAAAATCGGCGGTAGCCGCGGGGGCGCAGAAATAAGAAGAAAAGCGAGCGCCTGCGGAGAGCGCGGGTTAGGCAGCCGGCGCGACCGGCAAGACGTGCGGGTTGCGACGAAGGGTGGCTCGTTTTTGTCTGTCACTCACCTCCTCTCTCGGTTGTAATCAGCCCCTGTGCCTCACACCAGAACCAAGTCGCGTGTCTAACTGTCCAGAGGAGTTGGGTAGTTTTGGCCACTGCACCCGAAAAATCCGTTCGCACCGCAAGTCGATCGCCGCGGGCTAAATGGTTAGTCCATCGCTAGCGCGCGCAATTCAAGCTAAGTCGAGGGCCGCTTTCATAAAAGTCTATTGTCGTCCTCCTTGAAGTTCTTGATGCTCATCTTCGCGCGCGCGGGGCCGGTCACTGCTGCTCGCGGGCCACAACACCCATCACCAAAGTTCGGCAAAGTGTGCTGCAGAGACACTGCGCGGCGGAGAGCGGCACCGGTGCTTGCGATTCGAGTTTGCCGCCGCGACTGCCGGAAAAAAGCGTCTAGTGAAATTTTTGAATTTGCACTTGCTCTTTCTCTCTCTCTCTCTCTCCGGCCGGCTCGCGCTCGCCCTAATGTAATATAAGGACCTGCGCTGTTTTACTACTTTCCATCCCCCTACTACCAACAAACGCGCGGCGGCGAGCAACTTTTTTAACCCCACCCTTATACTTGTAGGAGTAGAGAGAGAATTTTCTACTTTTCCGAATAGAAAAGGCAAAAAATTACCCCCTTTAACTTCCCCGCTGGAGGGAGTAACGTCCATGCGCGGAAGGGTTGGAGCTAAAAATTGGGGGTGGATACCAATTTTTGACACAGCTACAGCATGATACTCGCTCTCGCTCTTCTTTCTTTCTCTCCCCGCGATGCCCAATGCCCACCGTGATGTAATAAAAATAAATACAGAGCGCAGTCATTACACCCTGCGCGCCCGATTTTACTCTTGCTTTTGCCCAAAACAAAACAACGCCTGGCACCTGCCACCTCTCGGTCACGTGACACTTCTCGAGCAAAGATTTCGCATCATCTTAGAATCGGAATGGCAATAAATTCAAAGCCTCGCTGTCGCCAGCATTTGGTCCGAAATCAAATATCCATGCACGTTTTTGAAAAGCAACACGACGGTATTTAGATAATTATCTATATTTCTCAGGTTTTAAGAGAGAAATTAATATTAAAAGAAGGCATTTTTATTAGCTAATTCTTTAAGATAGCCCAAATGTGCGTAAAACAAACTACGAATATAATATTGTTTATGTTTCTAAATTCAATTCTGTCATTTAAAAATAAATATCCAAATCTCAACTCAAGTATTATAAATTAAATTAAATCTTTAGGAGGTTTCTGAAGATAATTATATTTTATCAGCTCATACTAGGATTGCACCTGACTTTGAATGCAAACTTAACGTTACAGAAAAACATCATTTTTCTGCCCAAAATGATAAAAATAGCTTTAAGGGGGCATCGCTTCGTTGCATTTAAGGATTGAACACTTCCAATTTGCATCAACGCGACTAGGGCCGCGATCCATAGCATATAGAGTGGCCGGAGAGAAAATTTTCTAAGTCCCGGCAAACCCGCTCTCCCTTCGTGCGCTCGACTTTTGGTCAAAAAATAAACCTTCCGTAGTTTCAATTCTTAAAATAATTTTGAGGAAAAGGAAAAATATTCACTTTTATTAATTTTTAAAACTTTCTTAGGACTTTTTTTGCCGAATTTTTTCATCAAGGGAAAAAGTTTACTTCAAGAAAAGTGGAAAATTTCAATGTAATTGATAAAGTGGATCAAAAATTCAAACCGATGGTGATTTTTTTTAAATTTTTTCGAGCCGGTAGCCGCTTTTTGAGCTGAGAAACCGGTCGAACGAAAAAGGGGTGCGCGTGTAGAGAAATAAGAGGAGAGTCGGAAAAGCCGAGTGTCGGGCGAGCACGGCTCAGCGGCCGGCGAGGAGCGCAAAGAAAATCTCGGCGCTCGGAAATGCACCATAGAGAGAGCAGGTGTCACCCACCGTGTCGCGTGTGTGAGTGTGTGTGTGTATGTCACCTGGCGTGCATCTAATTATGCCGACTATGCCATTGATGAGGCGATGCAGACCGGAAGTGTTCATAACCAATAACAACAGGCAAACATTCCATGCGCATATGAAATCGCACCGAGCGACCGGCCTACCCGCCCGAAAGGGTGCGGAGGCGGCAGAGGTACTCACCGAGTCGGAGGCGGCTCGGCGGCCGAACCGTCGTCGGAGGCGGCAGAAGAGGCCTCAGGCGAAGAAGAGTGGCGGGCGAAAATTTTTCTCGCGGGACATATCCGGCCAGCAAAGGGAGCACTCGGCGGGGACGCGCTGGGGCCGAGCGTGCGGCGCGTGCGAGCGAAGGAGACGATCTGAGAGCAACGTCTTGGAGTTTGAGTACAAAATGTGAAAACTACAGAGAGTGGGGCTTTCGCTTAAAAAACACACACACACATACACGGCGCGCGGGCAGAGAGAGCGGGCGAGAGAAGGGAAAATATAAAAGGTCCTTATAAACATGCGCATGTCTTCCCGTTCGTAAGAGAGGAAAAGCGGGCCAGGCCTTTGCTGACACCTGCTGTGGAAAACGCAAACTACGCCGCCTCCTTTTCCTTATATTTTCCATGCATACACGGGCAAGTCGGTGGCCCTCAAGGCGGGAGGGGAAGTGCGAGGGCGGAGCGGCACCTAAGGGAAAAATCAAAGGGGTAGCGGGTAGGGGGGGCGCCGAGAGCACCCACTGATTGCAGCTGCCCTAAGTGGCCGCCGCGCCAACTGCTCTCGCTCGAGCCGGCCGGCCGACCGACCGCCACCGTCCGTCGCAGCCGCTTTTTGCACTGCGATTGAAAAATAGCCGCGTCGTGCCGCCGATCGGCAAATAATGAATTGCAATGATTGGCGCATGCCCGCGCTTAATTAGCACTCTCGCGGCGCCACGCAAATAAACAAAACACAAACCGCCCTCTCTTTCTCTCTCTCTTTGCACATATACATACGTTTGTTTGTAGTTTTTTGTTTATTTGTTCGCGTCCGGCTAGTTAGCAGCAAATAAAAATGATTGCCAGGTGCACCGAGTGACGTGAATATAGGCAGCCTGCGCCTCGACGCGGCACGCCGGTGCAGCATCGACAACGGCAGGCGCTCTCAGCTGATCCGCACCTTTAGAAATTGAAACCGGTTTCTGAGGAAATTTACTTTTAAACATGAGATTTCTGAGACTCAACTTTTTTATTAATGAGGAAGATCATTGCTCATGTCACTGAATCATGATATTTGACAAAGGAAAACTTCAGTTAAAAATCAAAAAGAGGAAGAACAAATATAAAAAAGCGGCAATCAATTGAAAACAAAATCAATTTATAAACAGGGTTCCTTTGGTAATCTGTTTTCATTCAATTGTTATCTTCATTTCTTTTATTTTTTATCTTGTATTGATTGCTGTGATAGATAAACTTAAATTTAAGTAACATCATTTTCTTGTAATTAATAATTGTTATGTTTTGATTCTCCTATTTTTTCTTTAATCACTGTTTTTCTCTTTAATTAAGTTTAATGGGCGCAGATATTGGCACTTGGTGTCAACAAACTCAATTTGTTGATTAAAATAAAAAATTATCTCCAAAAAATGAACTTTGATGGTCTGCAGAAAATTAAAATTTTAATATAATTAATTGAATTAAATGATCGTTTACCAAAATTCTTTTCATGTATTTTCAGTCGTTTTAATGTGATCTTGATGTATTGATTTCATGTAGAGTAATTTCAAACTATGTGAATGTAGATTAAATAAATTAATAAATGAATTACACAGAAGCTGTGTTGAACTTAACAGAAATAAAAAAAAAATAGCAATTCTGAAGCTACCCAGGATATTTATTGCAGGTTAATTTCCATCATCAATTGCAATAAATCTAGTTAAATTAAGAATGATGTTCATAAAAGAAACTCAGACAACTTAAATTAAATATACATTGTTGCTGTAATTAAAAAAATATATACAAACTGTTTAAATTCAAAAAATAAAATGTTGAAATAAAAATGTAAAAATTTTAAATATTTAATTAAATTGCATAAACCTCCTAAACAAAGTTGTATAATATAAATTTAAAAATAGATTATTTAAATTTGACTTTTTAACCCATTTTTTATTTAATTAATTCATCAGATATGATGCTTAATTCCTAATATCATAAAAGCTTTAATTATTTTATAACGATCAATGCAATGATATTTTCGCGTAACAGAAAAAATATTAGAAATAAAATATCACGGTTGATTCGTCCTTGTGCGCGCCCGAAGGACACGCTGGTAGTGCAGCAAAAGGCTGCTGGCAGTATTGGCAGAAGCTTTTAGTCGTCTGTAATGGGTAAACAATGAAACGTTTTATTGGATCTTAAGGTTGTTGATGGCCCTAATAAGGGAGAAAAGACACAGAAAGTGTCGCGTCACGTTAGCTTGAGATAAGACGTGGTCATCCATCGGCCGGCAGCTCTTTACGGCCGCGCCGGACTAACGCGATTATGTAACGGCCCCGGGCATCTGCAGTTGTAAAAATAATTATTACCCTCGCGGCGCAGCTTCTGCTGCCGCTGCAGGACCGAACGATATTTTTATGATATAAGAAAATAAAAAAGAGAGTTATTGTTCGGCATTATTGCTGCTGCTTCTGTTCGCTTCTCTCGCAATTAAAAATACGGATGAGAGCGCAGGGTGCGGGGGAGGAACGGGGTGCTGCTTTTTTTTATTCCGCTGCTGCACGACGACGACAGGGGTGCAGAAAATAAAGAATCGCATTTTTCACTCCATCGGCGGAAGCGCGCGCCGGGAACAAAAGTTTCTTTGTTTTTCTTAAGCCGCGTGTCTTAATGAGAAGAAAGGTGGCCCACGGCTGGCCGTGTGATCTTGGCGCTGCGTTTCATCTCCACGCGAGGCAGACGACGCATCTCTCCAACCCTGTGGGGATGAAAAGCAGACGCCGATGTCCACTAAAGGGGTGAAATCGAACCGGTTTATGGGGGAAACTCGCTCAAATTAGATCCGGAGAGAAAAAACGGGTTTTAAAGATGGCGAGATTCCTCGGACGAGGGAATAAAGTCGCCGTCCCTTAAAATAAATTAATGCAATCAGGGCCCCGTTTGCATTTAGAGCTGCTTTGAATCATAAAGTCAATAAAATTGAATGATGGAATTTCAGTGGAAGTTAATTTTAAGAAGTACTACATCACATTTAACTATAAATCCATAAATATTCTAATTTTAAGAAATAATAGAATTAATATTTCAAATGAAACTCATTGTAAACGTAGAAGTATGATCAGTTTTGTAATTGTAAGTACTTTCTAAATTATGAGCTATTTATTAATTATTTTTATTAATATCAAAAATAATAAGTTTCTATTAAAATTTGAAATAAAACTTTTTAATGAAATAAAATAAACTAATAGTTTTCTAAAATTATAATAAAAAAATAAAATAAATAAATAATTTAATTTCAGATTCGCAAAACTGTTCTTAAAAAGGTAAAACGATGCATTTTAAATTAAAAAATATAAATACATTATAAGCTTTTTTTAAAGAACTCAATGTTTTAAATGTAAAAAATAAATATATTTTCTATGGATAATTATGGTTCAAAAATTCTTTTTTTTCCATTTAGTTATAAAAATACGAAGGAAATTCGATGATTATTATTCACTGGGCATGAGATCACATTCCAGTCTCCCACAAGTTTAACGTTAAGATGTGCAAATAAGTCCCGAGCTGTTTTCATTAATATTAATCCCGTGTCCGTTTCAACTTTCCTGGCTTATCCGCTTCGTGTTTATCAGACGCGACGCAGATTTCTTTAATCGTCTGCTGAAACAAAACGCTCGTCCGAAGCATCACGCGACATCAAGAAGTCGTGTTTTCCGCCACACAGACTAGACGGCTGCCGACTCCGGTTTTGATATATTTTTTTTTATCTCCTCACAATTCAGTTCAACGGCCATAAGTACATTTATTTGCAGTTGTGCAAAAGTCACCCAGGTCAAGAACCGATCGCTCGCAGCAAAATATGATCGCTTGGGGTTGAAAGCAACAGTGCTCGAGGGCGGGGGTGAGACGGATATGGATGGGGCACTTTGCCGATCGCTGCAGTCTTTAAGACGCTATTAGGGGGATCGCCTGGGGTGCCGTTTTATGGCCGGCTGAGTGTGTCACTCGTTTTCCGCCCTCTGACTTTCTTCTCGAGACACCCTTAATTGCTGTTGACTTGCTTACCTCAAACTTTGTCTTTGAATTTCAGCAGGAAATTTTAATGTAAAATTAATTATTAATAGTTAAAAACATTAAATAATTAATCTGATGTATGATGCAAGATTATAGGCTTAAAATTAGCAAATGAGAAAATTAAAAATAAAAAAATATTATTTATTTAGAACTTTAGTAAATATGGATTTATTAGGTATCAAGTGAGAGAAAAAGCAAAATTAAAATAAAAATATTTCTAAATTATATTTTCATTGAAAAGAAAAATAATAAATATTATTTTACTGCAAGAATTGTTTTGTTCAAATTATGTTAAACAGAGAGTTCTTTGATTATGCAAGTTTTTTTTTCTGAAGGCACACGGCTGAGCCAAGTATAATATGTACTGTGTGTAAGGGCTGTGTATGGAGGGGAGAAGGGAGAACGAAAGCTGGCTGCTTTGCTTATTATACACACAGGCCAAAAGGTATGCGCGCCCGCCGTGTTTATCACTGGTCCAATGATTTCGAGGAGCAGATGTGGGGACCGTTTAAACTCGTAACGACCTTTTTGCTGCACTTGTCTCATTTTTCCTAAGACCTTTAATTTTGCTACCAAATGATAAAATTAAAATTTGAAAATAGTATTATTTCAAATACGTTAAACAAGATCCCGGAAATTGGTGTAAACACTCATTTATACACTTCTATACAGAAAAATTATTAATATCTATAAAAGTCAGATCAAAATATTGACTATTTAATTGGATTTAAAAAAATTTTAAATTTTCGTTTGGATTTTCTATACTTATAATTCTCCAATTTTCTAAAGACACAGGAATTGTAAAAATTTATGAGCAAATTTATTTGTCAATTAATAAAAAAAACTGGTTTTCTACTATTTCAATCTACTAAATTTTTTCGTAAATGCAAAACACAAAATGAAATTTAAATAAAAGCTTTATATAAATGAATAAAAAGCACATTTTTTCAAGGGGTTGTTAACTTTTTTGAATGAGATTTGCCGCCAACGCTTTGTGCGAAGGCATTGTCTCTTGAGGGACGGAAGTTCGCCGGCACAATGGGATGCGCGATAAGAAATCCATATCCGATTTCTCTAAGAAAACTTCCTTCCTTCCTTTGTAAGTGTGTCAAGTTAGGGCAGCGAAAGTGATGCAAATCGAATTTAATGGAGCGTATGCGGCCGGCTAATGAAGCGACAGTCGCGGAATTGGCTCTGTTGACCGTCCATTGTTTGCCGTGATTTGTTTGCCGAGCGCACCTGTTGCTCTCGGCGGCCAAACCAAAATTGGGCGAAATTGAGAACTGAACAACTCACCGGCTCACGTGTGTGCTCGCAGAATCCACAGGTCCTTCTTTCTTCTCCGCCGCCGTTCGTCGTTTGACTGCCGGGTGGTTTCTTGTGCGGCGGGCACGCGCCGTCTTGGCCAGGGGGCGGATTCTTGTCGCCACTTCTTGGTGGGAGTTTCTAAGGAGCTCTCGCTGGAGAACCGCCGTTTGTGCGCGAGGAGAACCGCGAAGGAAGGCGCGCACGCGACTCCTCGCGTGGTCGTCGGGAAAGACGTTGGCGGTGCGCAGAGTCGAATCCCGAGGCGGCCAAGGAAGGAAACTCAACGGACGAAATCACTCACTGTGACATTCCGAAAGCGAGCCACCCGCGTCCAATTTTCTTATCTCTCCCCCGCGCACCGCCATCCCGCACGCGATTGCCTTCCAAAGAGTTTTTCTAAAGAAATAAAATTCAAAATTAATTAATTAATTAATGATTAAATTCGAAATTTATTATTTATCTTCTATTTCATTGACTACATAAAGAGGAAATAATTATAAAAAAAAAAATCCTGCAAACCGAATGCTTTATATTTTGTCAAAGTTACTATTTATTACTTATTGTTAGTTTTAATTTTTTTATTTGCAGCTGTGTGAATTTCTTATTATTCCTTTTGGTGAAACATAAAAGTTTGGATAGAAGATGATCATTATAATTTTTCCAAAAAAAGGGCTAATGTCTTTATCTTGGACTAAAAAAATGTAATTTTTGAAGGGAGAAACAATAAAAATTAAAAAAATAATTTTAAAATTTCATATATTAGGCAATTAATGAAAAAAAGTGTTATTAAGACTGAAAGATTTCTCGAACGAAGTTTATCAAAATAAATGTATATTTAAGTGCATAAAAAAAAATAGCATTCCCCACCCATACCAAATGATTAATTTTACCGGGACATTTGTATTGCATTTATTTCTTCATTGTTTCTTGTCCTGAAGTTGAAGTGGCCGCCTTTCCTCTAATTGCTGGTCTGACGAGGCACCACGCTGCAAATTTAATTATGTCATATTTTAATTTCAAGTTTTTAATTACAAATATATAGGAAAAAAACCTGCTGACTACACGCTGCTCACTGCCGTCAACTCACAATAATTGGGGGCCATCTTGGGGGTTGAGACTTGGAGGATTTTGTACAGCGGATAATTTTATGCTTTTTCTTTTACTTAAATAAGAGTGATTTTGACAGCTGGAGAATCTTTTAACTGCAAATTTTGAATTCAAATATTACAAAAAATTAACCTGCTGACGACGCTGCTCCCTCATGTTCTCGAACTTCTCGGAGTGTCTCTGAACTGACTTTCCTGTCCAACCATTTCCAAGGCCATCGATTTCAGGTAAATTTAAAGAATCAGCCTTGCATCGAATATTAAATTCGGTGAACGGATTTTGAATAATAACGGTTTGTTTTCTACAATTTTAAAGTGACAATGAGAAAAAATGTGAAATAAATTCTTGATTGTTGGATGGAATATGATTATAAACAAGCATGTGTGATGAGCGTCGTGAGGCCGTGACTTTATCAAAACCAACCAGAAGAATCCAGAATAATTTGCTTGTTAGAAATGCAACAATGCTTTTGCGCAAGTTTGCAATAAAATTAGAGTTTGGTACCTTGAATTCTCAGTCGTCAATTAGCACTCAAAGAACAGGACACATAAAGTATTCCATTGCTGTTCAAAATTTTAGTTTATTGTTTATTTTTCTAGCAACTTCTCAAATAGTTCCGCAACTGGCGGAAGAATATAGTATGTGAGATCAAGTATCAAGTGAGCTCTTCAAAATAGATCGCAAAACAGTCATTCGTAAAAAAAATTATTTAGAGTTGAATGTTTATTCTCTTTAGGGAAACAAAACGGTTAGGATATAAAAATTATTTGGGTTTTTTTTCCAACGTTGTTTATTTTGGTTTATTTAAAATAATGGGTGTTTTCTAAATTTTTTTGAGGGAAAAAATAAGGCAATTTGAAACAAATATTTTTGAAGAAATTAGCACTCGATGAGGAGATTTATTTTGTTAAATTGTGGTTTTACAATTTTGCTGATTTATATATTTTTTTTCTGCTAGGGTCTTAATGTACGTGCGACCAAAACTGGAGGGCTGTTTTGTGTTTCATTAAAAACAATTTTTACAACAACGACGAGCCTGTTTTCTTCACTTTCAACTTTCATAAGTGGTTTTAGGCGAGAAATATTTCTTTAAATTTCAAAAAATATAATTTTATGATTAAAAGGTGAATAAAAAATTCATTTTAATAAATACTAATTTATTTGAGCTTTAATTTAAAAAAATGCATTTTGACGCCCCAATCAGATTATTTTTTTGCTGTATAGACTGATATGCAGAAACTTTATATGGACTCATTAATTCTGAAAAAGAGTTTAAATAACGTTAAAATTTCCCATTCGCTATGTGCGGTAAAAAGTTTATGTCCAAATATTAAAATCTAAATTCGGGGAAGCAGCGCTATATAATTTTTACACCTAAAATTATTTAATTTATAATAATTAAGTAGGTATAATATCTAAGGAGGATTTGTTTAAAGTTGTGAGCCAAATAATTGGTTTAACACAAAAAGTAAATTAAAAATGAGTGTAGTTTTATAAGGACATTTATTTGGTCAGCTGACGTTTTTTTTATAAAAGTCAAAGAGCGGTGACGAGGGAAGAAAATTTTGTCCGTTAGCAATTCTGGGAGTGCAGATGTGGTACGAAACGCGTTCTTAAGACTTTATACGCCCAGGTGTGCGCGCTTCATTCCGCGGGGAGATAAACTGGCTTTTCTTTTCTCGGCGCTCCTCGGCGTCTTCTTCTCTTTCTCATATAAAAGATCCCCGCACGGCAGATAATAAAACTCCAACGGCCTCCCGAAATCTATCGACAGGGGATGATTTTTTGCGGCGAAGTTAATGACTTGTCAAGTAATTGAAGCCACATTTTTCACGCCTAATAAAATTCGTGCATGCGGCGAGAAACGGATAATTAACCAAGAAACGCGAAAATATACCTTTTTGCTCCTTTGGGGTGACTTTTGGAAACCAACAAAGAAGTACCTAGCATGCAGGGGTTGCAATAATATAAAAAAAGTGATTTTTATTGTTCACGCAGAAGAAAGAAATTTTATTTAATATTTGTCGTGAAGTATCTTTTTGTATGTCCCCTTGTCGCGACGAGTGGCTTCGCATCTCCGCGCTTTGTCCGCGGCTAAAATAATGTTTAATTGAAAGCTCGGCGGAGAGGGTAATTGGCCATTTGTAAGACGAGAGGACTCGCCTCAAAGTGTACTCGCAGACACACATCTGCGAAGCGTCGTGGGAATCCCTCATCTTTCAGCTCGAGTCTTTTTGTCTGCGGATGTATCGGTTGAGCCTTTTAAGAGTTAAATTGCTGTGAAATGCTCAATGATCTCTCGCTCGCTCCGACCGAGGGTTGTGAATATTTATACGATTGTGATATTGACAGTTTTTAACCGAATTTAACGTCAATTCTCACATTTAATCTCACTTTTTACGCTGGCTCATATTATGGACAATTTTATAAAAAAGAGTTTAGTATTTTTAAGGAAACATTAAAAAAAAAATCAATTTATGAAGTTCACTCCTGTGCTATAATAACGACAATTTTCTTTGCCATTAAACAATGCAAAACTAAGCAATCTAATGTAAAATTAACTGATAATTTCCCTATCCTACATCAATATCGACAATATCGCAGGTCGCAGCAACTGATCTGATAGAACAATCATTAATTTTTAACTTCAATCTTCAACAAAGGCCACGCATCAGCTCTATTATGTTGGCCAAAAAAAAAGATGTCTTCCGCCCGAGCCATAAGGCCCCATGGCTCTGACGGCGGCCGTGTACCAACATAATTTTGGGATGCGCAGCCTTTGATCTTCAATAACTTATTGTCAGTCGCAACCTAAAAATTTATACTAAAAGTAAAGATCAAGAATAAATTATTCATTAAAGATGTTCGAAAAAATAAAAACTTTCAATATGCAATAAAAAAAATATATAATTTATAAATTTTTACTATAACAAAAATTAAAATTAATAGGAAAAAGGAATAAATAAATATGATGAAAATATTAATTTTAAGTATTTTAAAGTAATTTTTTTAACTTATTAATAATAAGATTTGAATTGCAAACAGCTGACTGAGTCGCTCGAGTGTGTATTACGCATCACGCGTTTTGCACGCGGTTGCTTTTTAATTCCCTGCATTTCACGTGTTATATGGTGGGGCTGCCTGCGAAGTGCGCGCCGAGTAAAGGGAAATAATATCTCCAGCGGTGTGCTGCTCTCCTCTCTTATGTTTTATCGATCGGCCAACCCCTCCTGCTACTTTGTCATGAGGAGCAGATATTCAACCCCTATAAACACACTCTGAACTCCTCGCTCTCCTCTCCGATTATAGCATCATAGCAGAGCGACCGACTCGCGACTGACTCACATTATGCAAGGAAACCAACTCGCTCTGACTAATGCTCACAATCAATTATCCAATCTTGTATGTTTAAAAGTATACAGAAATTTAAATTTGAACTTTATAAATGTAATATATAACATTTTACTTATATCTACCTCAATGATCTGACAGCTAAATTTTTTTTCTTAATTAATCCAGATTAAAATTTTTAATTGTTATTTTACAAGATTAAATTAAAACTGGCCTTGTGACCTTTTAAATTATAAATATAAATAAAGAAAACTTTGATGTTGATGAATTTCAACTTTTTGGTGCATAAGGGTACAAATAACTTGTTGGACCTGAGGTATTCAACCCGCAGGTCGGCCAAACGGTCATGGTTAGTGATTTCGCCAGGCGGGAAGAGAGGATCGCGAGCCGTCATGCCTGCCTGCATTTCGCCCCTTCGGCATGGCACGCGTCGCTAAACAAACTGTGCTTTTCTTTTCCCCGAGGAGCTCCAACGTCTTCGCTGCACGATCATCAAGAAAATTTCATTCTTGCGAGTGCAGATGAGAGACGGCCGTTGGATTTTGTCCGAATTAAAAAATTGACTCTTCAGCCAGAGCTCAATTTTTCATTTGCAATTAGCCGGACGGATCTTTATTTATCGGCGCAATTAGCTGAGCATAAACAAATTGAAGGTGCCGCGGAGAAAGGAAATGCGACATTAAGGCGCTTTCATTACAGAGGGGAGAGGAAATTGAAGCCGCGCTCAGAAGGGAACGTCTTTGTTCTTATAGCGCGTCTCATTCTTTTATATCAAATTGTTTTCTCAGACATTCAAGCCTAAACAAATTACAGGTTTGCGGCGGTAAATTGTTTTCTTGATTGTAATTTGAGAAATGCATGTAAATTAAGGAATGGAAGTCAGTAAAATAATCAACATTCGTTTTTTTTTCAAGACGGTTAATTATTCTAAAAGTATAGCCAATGTCATTTTAATTCATTTTACTTCAGTGGACATTTTAGTAATTATTATTTATTTATTTCTTCTTCATTCAATACACATTCTTAAAACAAGGGCTTGGGAGAAAACTAGATGAAAATGCAGAAATTTTAGCTTTGAAATTAAAATTTAAGGCAAATCAAATTAAGAAACGGAAGTAAAAAGTGATTTGAGTGTCATAGTATAAAAATTATTAAAACAATAATTTAAATTCAACAAGCAAATTAAAAAATCCACTAGCTTTACTCAATCCTAAACAAAACCTAAATTGACTTATTTTGGAATTCTTTCATTTATTAATATTGCAGTTTTACAGTAATTTAAAAATGAAAATGACCTATTTTGCGCCTTGAACTTCAGCAGACGAAGCAACACAAAAGTGGCGAAGACAAAGTGATTAGAATGATTGGCGTGCGGCAAAGTTTGCCGAGGTAATCGCACCCCTCGCACAAGCAAACACCGACCGGCGCGCATACTTTTCTTTTCCTTTCTTTATTCAGCCTCGACGTTTGCGAAAAGACCCAAGTCCACGTGTATACCCAATAATTACTCGCGGCGCGCGGCAATTTCAATTATCGCGCGTGCATGAAAAGGCCAAAAAGTAGCGAGGCCCGCGGTGCGCGGTGTTGCTCGCGGCGTGGGGTCGTCATTGCGCCGCGCGGACGTCTTAATTATCCTGCTCGTGCCAGGCTCTTTTAATAAAACGCGTCATTGTGCGGAAATCACTTTGCCTTCTCGGGTCAATATTGGCGCGCGCACACACATTATTATTATACGCCGCTGTACACAGAGAAAACTCTCGATCATGTCGGCCGTTACTTTTTATGTCGGCAAACCATCTTATTGCCAAAGACTCAAGACAAACTTGCTGGTTAATCCCAATTTCAACTAGGCCTATATTTACTTGTCTTGATTTGGATGTTGAAAAAATTTATGAAACCCAATAAATTTTCATCCAACTTTTTAAATGTTCGATAATTTTTCAACTAAAATTCATTCATTTCTCATTTTATATATTTATGATAATGATAATTATGTTCATATTTCATATAATTTGCAAATAAAAAGCTGACTACTTAAGTGTCAGGAATTTAAAAACAAAACTCTTTTGATAATATATAAATTATAATTTCATTTTATTCAAGGTCAACTCTTCTAATTTTTTTCTTACAATTAGACGTTTTTAAAGGAAAAGCCAAAATCATGTGACTCAATTAAACGACAACACAAATGATCATGAATGAACAATGGAATGTGAAATTTTTAGCTATTGTTGGTTTAAAAACTCTCACCAGTGAAGCATTTACATTATACAATAAATTTCAAATTGAATTTTTAATAATTCAACTCGAATTTAATAAAATGTCCAATGATTTGCTCTTTTGCGTAGGATATTTAAAAAAATAATATTTCACTGCAGCTTATTAATTAGTTTATTTAAATTGGAAAAGTTACCTTCTCTTAATTCTGTAAAACATTCAATACAAAATATCTTAAGATTGCAACTGCTACTAAAATGTACTAAGAGGATCTGCTCTGAAATAAATATTTTTTAGGTACAGATTAACATTAATCATGAATATATCTGGCACAAGTTCTTGTTCCTCAAAAAATATAATATATAAAATGTAATGTAAATAATAATTATGAAGTATAAATAAACTCTAACACGAATTCTCTTTTAATTTGAAAATTAATATTAAATTTTTATAATTTTGAATGTATCTCATTGTAGGCAGGAATTGCCTTTGTGATAGATCAATAAACACAGTTTGCAACTAAAATCTTAAAATTAATCTATTAAATACAATAATAGTTTTTTACAGGGCATATATATTGATATTGATATAGTAATTATTTCATAATTGATTTTTAGCAATTCTGGCTCCGTCAACTGTAACTGCAAAACGCTTTGCTCTTGTGAAATAATACTTGCAAGCTAAAACTACTGCACATAGTATAACAACTGCCACTGCGGCACATCCAATTGTGAGGGGAATGTTTAGTGAATGTGAGGAATCAGTCGCTGAAAATATAGTGATTAGGTTAACTGCGCTGCCATTACAAAAATACCTGATTTACCTGATTTACCACATTCTGATTCTATTGAGATGAGGTTTCCATATTTATTACACTTCAGACTATATATTTTAGTGTCATTAGTGTGTTTGCATGAGTATTCATTCTTTCTGCATACATAGCAGTCTGTGTAGTGCCTTTTTGAAATCAAGCAACTTATACAACCATATTTGGTGCAATCAACTTCAACAAAAATTTTGTCACAATTGTGATGATATTCTTGGCCTTTTTCAAATATTTACCTGCCCAAACAGACCATGTGGGGTCTCCTTCAGTAAATTGCCATTTTCCATTCTCTCCGCACACAAATGTTAGATTCAATGGAATAGTGCATGTTGACGTTATTTTGCAGGTACAATCAGCAAATGTCTTTTGAGAGTACTCCATTGATTTGATACTTTTTGGATTAAACTTGCAATTTAATTTTCCATTTAAATCGCGCTTATGACAATCTAAAGAAATGATTGTTAGAAAATGCCAGTTAAAATTTATTAAATTATAATTAACTTACTTTTTGCATCGATCTGATTTACTTGCAAGAAACACAAAGTGGCAAATAAAATTCCGCATATAATACCAGACATACCTTCAGCCATAAGCTTTGTGTTTGATAAAGCCGCGGTTAACCCGATACTAATACAAAACAATACAGAGCCTGAATTAGAATCGTGTTGTCGATGCAAGTTATAATAAGTTTATCACTTTTGAGTCACGTTTTGATACTCATATCAAACCAATCACTTCCTGCAACGTAAGTTGGCGCTATAATTTGTCTTCCGTACAAGATTGGTGAAACAAAATTAAAATACTAAATTAATTTTTATTTGGTCGTCTAATAAAAAGTTATCGTGTGCCCTTTTTTTTAAGCCATTACTAAATAAGTGCAGTTTAATAGAAATGTTAGGGAAAAACTGTGGCACAATTTTTAATCCGCAAAAATGGATTTTTTTCATAAAACAAAAAAATGTATTGGTTTTTTACAGTTTACTGTTTCAAATTTAAAACAAAAAATTAAGTAAAATATATAATAGTACAAAAAAATTATTTTCATTTTGCTTTTTACTTTTTACGTTTATATTCAACTTTATTTGATGAAGTTTTTATTTTATTATGATTAATGTGATTAAAATAATATGGCCATTTTACGTGCATATAGTGAAAAACAAGCTGCATCTCTTGGGCGGAGATGAAGAAGCTCATTGCAGCAAAGTGAGCGTCACGTATGCGAGTTAGTTTGCGGGCGAATACGTGATGAAAAGGAGTTGAACCCCTTAATCTGCTAATTGCATCACCCTTGTGGCACAACGTAAGAGATTTACGGCCATTGATCTTTTCAATTAAGGAGCCGAGAGAGCGCGCGCAGTGCCAACTGGCATTTATTCGGGCATAATTCCGCAGCTGCTGTCTTTATAAGAGACGGACGATGGCAGCAGGCGGGCTGTTCTCACGGCACAAGGAGCAGGTAGACTTGGTGGTCGGCACGGCGGTCTTGGTGGTTGCATACTTGGCAGTGAAGAAATTAGTCTCGCGTGCTTCGCAGAGATTTGAAATTCGAAATAAATTCCAATTGCCATGATGTGTTTATTTTTTCTTACTGACTCGAAACTAATTAAGACGAAAATTTACTGCTTCTTCTTTTTGTGGGGTAGAACAATTTATACACAATTAATTGGAAATGCTAGAAAGAAATAAATAAAAGTAAGTCTTTTTGTTTTTGGATTGGATCACGAAGGACTCAAAGTGAAATGTTTGTAGCGACGAGTGTGGAAATAAAAAAGGTTTTGCCAGCGGAGTTTATTTCCCTGCCACTTTTAGTGCGTGCGACAATTTTTATTTTCGCGTTTATGGATCGGTCTTGCTCGAGCGCGACGTAAAAGGAAGATCAAAGATTTAATAATCGGCAGTAAAAATTGGCCGAGAGAGGCGAATTCGCTTTTTTTTCCGCCTCGCTCTGAAAAGTAAATAAACTTTTGCAATTGGTCGCGCGTGTTTCGCTCTCTGGCCATTCGAATGCACCTTTGGCACTTAAGATAAGCCGACGGCCGGCAGTTTGGCCCTCGGCCGGTCCCAAGAGCCGCCGGTTGTAAAGGGTTGCTCCAAGATGATGGCCAGCGCGGCAGTATCTCGGTGGACATAAATTCAAGTGCAGCCGCACTGGCGCGACAAACATCTTCAATTAATATTTGATAGCGAGAGAGCGCTTTGAATTAAGTAATGCGAGCTCGTTAGACGCTCTCGGAGATTCTGGACGCAATAATAATTATATCGTGCCTGCACGCGGCACTTCTCCGTTCCGCACACATCCCCTTGTAATAAAACCCCTTGTTTGTCGCTCAAGTTCCGTCAGACGCTGATTCAAGTCTAACTGGCTGGCAACCTGGCTGCTTTGTCCAAGATTTTCTATTTATTTTAATTATATCAATCTTTATTGACTTATGAGTCATTCAGACTTGTCCCACTAACAATAAGAACTAGTACACAATAGAAGAAAACAATATTAATTTTTATTATAAGAATTTTTATATAGGTTGGCAATTGTAAAAAAAAACTACAATCAGTGCAAATGAATGTAAATTTATATTATACACTGTTCTAACAATAAGTATCTTAAAATTATCATAATTAAATTAATTAATAATATATTCATATAAAAATCCATAAAAATAATCAAGAATTGAATGTAAAAATATGACAAATAAAAACAACAATAATAGTAAAACTTATATTAATAATAATATTCAAGACTAATAATAAGATTCGTGAGAAAAGATAAATTTTACATTTCCATGTATATAGCTTATGATATTTTACGATTTGTTACGCTTCAGTAAAGTTTTCACTGGCTGACAGGATTTTTATATTGAGTTTCAGTCAATAATTGCAAATAAGCTAGGTAAGTTCTTAGAATTTATCAAACTGCATCTTCTCATTAATTTATATTGCAAAACGATAAACATTTTGGTACGAGATGAAAAGACTTATATTTAGCCTGGGTTGGGCCCTAAGAAATTTAATTAATCTTATTTGATAATTGTTATTGTATAGATTTAGAATAATGCAGCAACTTTAAAAATTTAAATAAATATTTCAATAAAAATTTAATTGAATTCTAAAATAAAAATAAAAAAAATCATATTTCAGAAGAGGAATAAAATTGTTTAAGATTTAAGATGGAATCCTTTTTGACAAACAAATTATTTCTAGATAATTTTTTTTAACATTTTAAGACACTCCAAGTAAAGAAAACTATTATAGACAAAACCATATTTTAAGTTTAATTTTTTAATTGAAATAAAATTTTGTATCTCTCATTCTTTGATGCTTATATATTGTAAAATATAAATGAGAATTGTTTTAAAATGAAAATTTATAATCATTTGTTCTTTAAAATGACCTTCCACAAATTAAGCCTTCGTGGGAAATAAGATTCTTGATTCAAAGTACTGAGGTAATAATAATTGCAAAGTAGCGAAGAATTTCTCTTACAGACTGGACGGACTTATATAATTGAGGCAACGGTGATTGCTTTTAATTTTTCATTTCTCGCCGACGCGCAGCTTTCGCAAAGTTCACGCATTTTCCCGGAATTGCGAGCTTCAGCCTGGAAGGAAAGTATGAAACCTTGGTAGGGCCGCGTTCCTCGCACGCCGACAGAGAGAGAGCCAAGCCGGAGAGAGAGGAGACTTGAAGGGGTTCCGCGCTCGCGGACGCCGCCGAAACCGACCTTCTTGCGGCGGAGGCGCTGAAGTGGGGTTTTTGACATCGAGAGAGAGGAGAGAGAGTGCGAGCAAACGTCCTCACACGCGGTTACCGCCGACCAGGAGCGCATGAAGCGGCAGCAGGTAGCGCGCCAGCTGTGACGTCACACAGCTCGCTTCAGCCCGCGAGTGAAACGCCGCGTCTGATAAAAAAAATCATTTTTTTTTTGTAATGCAAATAATAAAACCAGCTAAAATCCAATGGTTTTTATTTGCAAACATAAAGGGGTGAAAAAGTTAATTTAGTTTAATTGATAAATCATTTAATGTTGAAATTATTTTTGATCTGTTTTGATCAATCTAAAAATTAATTTAAGTCCTTCTTCAACTTTTGTTTTTAAACTGTTTTTATATAATAGTATTAGATACATAATAATCATAAATTATTATTTAATAATATTTTATTATAATTATTATTTTAATTAGCACTGTAAGGGTACCTGACATAACTTTCATGTTATTTTTTTAATTTTTAATTTCAAATCATGTTTGCCCAAATACATCAATTCAACATAACAATTAATTCAATATTATAAATTACATTATTGTTTATAAGAGAGAGAAATTAAACAAAATAAATATAAAGACAGAACATACTTTTTATCTATTTTAAATTTCAAAGAATCGACTTAATTAAGTTGGCCTGCAGGCAACTCAGCTTTGATCGAAATTTGGAATTTGCGGTACTGATGGATTATATTTTTATAAAAGGGGCCTCAAGAGAGCCTTTTTGGAGAAATTAATTAACACTAATTCACTTAATTAACATTAATTTTCAATTTTTGCATTTAAGTAAATTAAGAAGTTATTTTATAAACAATTTAATGATTGGAATGAGTCGGTGAGGCGAAATGCCAGGGCGGATCAACACAGCCTATGGAGCTGTCGATGAATTGACAAATAATTATTGCAGTGATCGAACGCCCAAGCCGATCGGGAAAAGTGTCAATTAGGCGAAAGCGTCGCCAAATCAGGTATCAAAGCGGCCGGTTCTTAATTTAGTTGGTCAGCGCGCGTGTGATGCAAAACAGTCGAATCGCAAATCTTGTTAAAAATCATGAAGAGCGTAATGGAAAACGCGCGCGCGGTTAAGCCGCCTTATAATTTAGTGACATTTTGAATTGACATTCAGCCGACGTCTGGCTATGAAATTATTCAGCACATCCATCAGCGGCGCATGGGCAAAATAAAATTCTCGCGGCTGCGAAATTTATTTTCGCCGTGCACACGCGAGAAGGAAAAATAAAAAAGGCCTACGGGCATTGGAATTTAAACGCGATCTCTGCGCGCTGTAAGCAGACGAACCCTTGCTTGCTGCTGTCTCGTCGTCATTACACAATATCTCGCGAGAGAGTTTAATCACTCTGTATGTGCGAGAGAGAGAGAGAGAAAGAGAGCAGGCGGGCTCTCATTATGTGCGCATAATTGAGATAGAAGAAAAAATATTAATTCTTTCAGATTATTACTCGGTGGCGCGCGCCCGAGCAGCAGCCAGAGAAAGGGTTATAGGCGCGCGCGGCAGCTGCAAATCAACACGAAATGTACATGGGTGCTGGTGTATTTCCTTCTTGCCTCACTGACTCTTTCTCTCTCTTGCTGATGGATTAATCAAAATCTCGCCGCCTCCGCCGCGTCGAGCGCGCTCGCGACTCCCTGCAGGTTATTTATTATTTTTTTTTTAATTCAATATGAAAACACACCCGGCCAGGCAGATATGCAACCAGCCAAGCATGCTCGAAAATAAGAAAACAAATGAGCAGGAAAAAGACATCAGATGAAAACGTGGAAAATCGCTGGCGCGGAGTTCAACTTGCTGCCCGAGTCGTGTGAGCAAAAACAAAAAAAGTTTTAAGCCTGATTGCAGTTTGCCGAGAGCAAAAG